TGCTTCTTTCTAAGAAAAAGAAAAGACAAAAATCAACACCTTGGTGAAGATGCAGGAAGGAAGCAGAGCCTAGGAATACCAATCTACACTCCCACAGTTACCTAGAGAAGACTAGATGGCTGTCTATTTCTGCCTTTCCTTCTGTGGTTCCAGGTACTTGTTCCAAATGCCCATAAAGGGGAGGCAAGCGACATTCACCAAATCAGGTTCCTTTCTTTTCCCCGGGAGGGCGAGGAGGGAACAGCGTGAATTTTATTTATTTATTTATTTATTGTCTATGGAGAAAGGAAACTGCAAGAGTACTGGTCTCTATGTTTAGCACGGCACATAAACGTGTGCACGCATACTAAGTGGCTTGAGATAATCATCATCCTCTTAGAACTGCAGAGCTGGAAGGGACCCTATGGGTCACTGAGTCATGCAGGGCATTCGAACTCCTAACCTCTAACTCTGCAGCCATAGACCTGAAACCACTGACCTATCCAGCAAATCTTAAAGGCCTCGGATGTGCTTGTCTCTCCATGCTGTAACGTAAGTTGCCAACAGCACAGAAAAGCGTGGTCCTCTTTTCCTTGCCTGCAGGTCTCACTCCCCAAATTTATGCTGCTGGCTTTACACTAGCATAACATCCCAGTAGGATTTGGGCCAATGAAAAATATATTCTTGGTAGGTCTTGCATTTTTTTTTAAAAAAGTTTATTTTCCTTTTGTTGCACCGAATCAAATATTTGCCCTTTGGAACCTGACTGTTCCAAAATATTTTAATAAACCTCTGAATACATTTGATATTGATCTTAATTAAGTCCTTGTACCCGATACAAAGTGCTTCACACACACACACACACACACACGCTTCCTTCCCCGACCCGAAAGGAGGTGCACGGGCCGGCCTGGATCTCATATCCTCTTAGGTTTGGGAGCTTCTCTTTGAAATCCAACTTGTATGCTGGCACGTTTCGCCTTTGCAATTGGAAAGCACTCCGTGCATGGTCAGAAGAAGTGTGCCGTATTTAAAAACAGTGCTTTTGGGATGTCCAGCCCAAGGTGCAAACTGGGACACAGACAAGATGGGGGGGGAATCTAGCAGTCTTGCAGCCTTTGCTGGCTTTCCAGTAGGCAGAAAATGACAATTCTGCGGCTCTGAATCGGACAGGGCTCCCACTCCTCCCCGATCGTGGCCTGATCCTGTTAACGGGTGCCAGCATTTCTTGAAAGAGAGCCCCTGGGAGCTGTGTCTACAGAGCTTCTCCCCATGAGGGAGAAAGGTGTGCAGAGGGAGAGGAGAAGACACTGGCCCAGAGGCAGCAAACATAACACACAATTTAGACGACCATTCCGATAAAGAACTCATATTTACTGATAAATGAATTTAATGGTTCTGTTCAACGGTTCTGTTGCGCAATTTATTTTCCGAGAGGGCTACAGGGGTTGTGTGAGATCCCTTCCCTTCCTCTCTGCTTTGGATGATGTACAGTGGACCCTCTACTTACAGAATTAATCCATATCGGAACGGTGGCTGTAGGTCGAAAAGTCTGTAGGTCAAGTCTCCATTGACCTACAATGCATTGAAAACCGATTAATCCCGTAACCGGCTGTTTTTGTTCCGTTTTTGTTCCATTTTGGGTTTTTTCTGGTCTGTAGGTCGATTCTCCGGCTGCAAGTCGAACCTAAATTTTGCAGCCAGAGAAATCTGTAACTCGAAAAGTCTGTAAGTCGAGCCGTCTGTAAGTCGAGGGCCCACTGTAATTTTCATGGAAAGGCGGAATAAAAATGTAATATAATAAAAAAACAGAGACTAAGGGGATATGAGAAAGAATAACATTGAAACAGGCCCAGGATTCAATGTACAAGACTTCAGTTCGGCATTGAATGCAAAGGTTTCTTTATAAGTTACCTTTCTTGCCAAAGCGTTCCAGACACCGTGTGGGTGTAAGAGCGATACAAAGCCAAATGTAATACTAAAACAAACAAGAAGCAAATGTTAAGTATGTCAAGTTGTGAAGAAATCAAAATAATATCCCTGTTTAAGGATGGGCAGCCAGGAAGGAATTAGAAAAGATCCCCAAATATAGAGATGTGTTGCTGGAAACCAAGACCAACATCACGCACACGCTTGTATTTCCGATCAGCATCTCTGGATGTGAAAGCTGGACAGTCAAGAAAGCGGACAGGGGAAAAATAATTGATTCATTCCAAAAGCAGTGCCAGAGGAGAGTTTTGGGGAGACCCCTGGACGGCCAGAAAGATGAGCCAGTGGGTTCAGTGCCAGAGGAGAGTTTTGGGGAGACCCTGGACGGCCAAAAAGATGATCCAGGGGGTCCTAGATCAAATCAAGCCCGAACTCTCTCTGGAGGCCAAGAGGATGAAACCGAGGTGGTCCTACTTTGGGGCAAATCACGAGACGGCAGGACGATCGTGCTAGGAAAGGCGGGAGGCAGCAGGAAAAGAGGGAGGCCAGGGATGAGATGGACGGACTCCCTAAAAGAAGCCCCAGGCTTGAGAGTTGGTAACAAACTGGAAAAAAAGAGAGAAGGGTTTATAAAGGCAGAAAACCCGGCCGTAGCTTCTTTGTAGCAGTTGCACATTGCTTAAGGGGAAAAGGGGGTAACTGTATATAACAGCAGAGCGTGACAAATCTGTTTTTCCAAACTAACGTCTGGGGGATGCTGGGACCTGTAGTCAAAACAAATGTCACTTTCCCAAGCTCCCATCCCTAGACTGCCATGGCTTTTTCATGGAGCACTACCGGCTACCCCTCCTGGCGCAGGAAAGGCTACGCCGACGACCGAGAGGATTCGCAAAGCCGAGAGGGAGGAGCGGGATCCCACACAAGCGGTGCTACAACTCCGGTATCCATCCGGGCTGGTTTATCTGGACGCTCCGGCCCCTCCGCTTTCCCGGAGGCAAGAGGAGCATACCACAGCTGACAGCTTGGGCGGCAAAAAACGGGGATGGGGAAGGAGAAATCCACCCCTTTGCTTCGAGGGTGGACTGAGGGCGTGGGACTCGGAGCAGAAAAGGGGAAATGGACCTGGGGGGAGGGAAGGCTAGGCTGCTTTTGATGGGCCAGGTTTTTTAAAAGAAACATACACACAACTAGGCTGAAAGGCAGGAGGAGGGACAAAAAGATGTTTTTGCTGGGAACACAAGGTAAGCGTGAGAGAGAAAAAGGAACATCTGGAAGATTCTATAGATGAGTTGCCGATTCCGCGTCTTGAAACGGTGCTTCCTTAAGAAAAAAATATGGTCCTTTCATCCGAACAGGAGCTGGTTCGGTTTGGCAAACCAGCCTGCTATGGGTTTCTCACTTGGGAGATAGCAGGGCTGAGCTTGCACATCTCGGCTCTCAGGCAAACGCTTGCAAGGTTTGCCTGCCTGGAGGGATAATGTTTGAAATGGAGAACTGTGCCTTTGGCATCTGAGCCTGAGAGGCTGATTCCATCATCTTCCTCGCTAACTGGAAAATCCGTGGCAGGGGGTTGACCCTACGGGTTCTGGCTCCTCTACCTCCCTTTCGTTTAGTCGTTTAGTTGTGTCCGACTCTTCGTGACCCCATGGACCTCCCTATCCCCCCCCCCAAAAAAAGGAGCATTCTTGAGCTACAGGCAATCCTGCATAATGGGCTGGGTTCCACACTGATGCTTCTGATGCGTTTCCCACCATCCGCACAATGCGGGGCTTGTCTCGATTCATCCAGCAAATTTTCTTGAGACTTCTGGTACTTTTTTTCTCCCTCCGAGAAGACGGGGTTTATTTCGGGGAGGGGGGGTGACAGGGTCTCATCTCCCCTGAGCTACTCCTTTAACTCCAATATTCTGGATCGCCTCGGCCTCAGACTCCCTGGGTTGAAAATACTCCTGCTAAATAAACCCCAGCTGCTTCTATAGGAAAATGGCAGCCATCTGGCCTATGTTACGCAGTGCTGGTTAGAGGAAGCTGCCTTTACTCTTACTCCATCTTCGATGGCTTTGTCCATCAGAAGGCAAGGCCCCAGGGACCAGGTACAAATGGCCCCAAAGTGGTCCAGCACAGAAGTCTAGAAATAAGTGGGCAATTCCTTGGAGGTTACCAAGAATTTGCCAGCTAGCACTAAAGAAAAAAAAATTGATGTATCCGCGAAGGCTTTCACGGCCGGGATCTAATGGTTGTTGTGGGTTTTTCGGGCTCAGATACACGGCCAAACAGCCCGAAAAACCCACAACCACCAGAAAAAAAATTAACTTTCCATCTTTGCTTTGTAAGAATCATACAAACTCACAACGTCTCCGTGGATATTTGATTTCCTTTTATTTCAAGCGCAATGCCATTAGACTCTTCTGCACCTCCTGGGTTGACACATATGTCTCTTGGGGATGACATATTTTAGAGAATATTTGGAGCCATAATTTTTAGAATACCGGAAACTATGACTGCGATTTGCTTCTATATAGTTAAAAAAAAAAAACAACCTCAATATACGCACATTTCTTTGCTTATTTTGAATCTCTCACATTGCAATTTGTTGAGCTGGTTATTTACGTGATACTACTACAGTATGTGGGCAAATAACATATTATTCTTATTCTTCTTATTCTTGTTGTTGTTGTTGTTGATTTAAATAAGACATGTTGTGGATTGCACATGGAACTCCCACTGAGGCATATGGCATGTGAAGCAGGGGTTGGCAACTGTGGCCTTCCACATAGGATTGGGATTATAACCCCTCCCATAATTCTGCCAAGCCAGTTTGGCCCATGGCGAGATGAGCGTCCGCTCTGGCTTTTGGCCCGAGCTCAGAAGGAGCTGTCCCAAAATGCCCAGGACAGCTCTTGCAAAATTCAGATCAAAACTCGGAGCGGGCCCGCTGTGTGACTGATGCTGCCACCCACAGCCCCCACGGCTTGCTTGCATTATTCAGAACGACACGGCTCTGCCTGGTGATCATCATCACGCTGGCTGTCATTTCCTGCATGTTGAGTTCCAGGGTTGCCTCTCACGGGTCCCTCTTTCCTGTCTCCCCAGGTGTGGCCGCTGGAGTACTGGACCCCCAACAGAGCATCACGGCGGTGCTGGGCAAAGACGTGGCTCTCCCTTGCTTCTATCAGCCCACCGACGGGGAGACGGTGCTCCAGGTCACGTGGCTGAAGCGTCAGGACGACGGCCAGGGAGTGGAGCTGGCGGTCCTGCACAAGGACCACGGAATCCACGTCCAGGATGCCTACGCCGGGCGAGTGCTGTGGCAGTCCAAAGAATCCTTGAACACCAACAGCGCCATCGTGTTGAAGAACGCCGTGCAGGCGGACGAAGGGTCCTACGAATGCCACATCAACACCTTCCCGCTGGGCAGTTTTGAATCCAGCATCACCCTCAAAGTCTTAGGTCAGTACGCTTTCTGGGGCCTCAGGTGGAGGCCTGGGTCTCACCGCAGAAGAAGTGCTAAACCTTTCCGGCTTAGGTAACCGGAGGGGGAGGTTTTCAGATGTCTGAAATAAAGGTGCGCAGATTCGCATTTTTTGGACCACAAATCTCAGAAATCAGGGAGCTGCATCCCCACAACACAGATCTGTACGTTTGTACTCTGAAAGTATGCAAAGCCATCCCTGCAGGTAGAAAGCAAGGGTGTCAAGGAGAAAGGTGCCAGGATTCATCTACTGTACTTGCACACACGCGGATTGCGATGTTGGTGACTCCAGCTTCACAGGGTCGCTAACATTTGAGCAATGCCATTGTGGATGCGCCAATGCATCGCATGCATGCAGTTCAGTCCTCTCTGCCTGGCACAGGCTTGCCACTTCAGGCTCTGCCCTTCATGAGGCGCTGATTCCATATCTAGAAGCAGTGCTGCTTTTAGAAGAAAAGGTGGTCTGCCTACTTAAACCTGAGCACATCTTTGCCAAATCAGCCTGTTTTCAATTTGTAATTGTTCCCCTGGGGGACAGCGTGGCTTCGTTTGTATATCTGGTGTCCTAGGCATGTAGCACTGAAAAGATTTGTGTGTCAGGCAGGATAATATAAGCAGATGCCTGACTAGATGAACTTTAGTCTGACTCAGAGGGAGGGCTCTTGTGACGGTCCTTGTTTAGCCGGCCCCTCCTGGACAGCAGCTTCGCAATTAGAAGTGGAGCTGCCTTCAGAAGTAAAGGGCATTTGATTATCTTCCAATGTTGCTTTCTAAGCTATTCCGCTTCAAGGGGGGGGGGACTTTCTTTCATTTGGTGATTTATCTCTGGAAGATCAACAAACTTTGTAATGTTTGAGCTATAACTGTTGTTTGCCTCTGCAAAACAAGAACTGGGATAAGCCCTGGTGTGCTTCCTCCTGCAGTGCCTCCCTTGCCGACCCTAAACCTCGGCCCGCCTCTGGAAGAAGGACAGGGCCGCACGCTGGCCGCTTCCTGCACGGCAGAAGGGAACCCCATCCCCATCGTGACCTGGGAGACGGAGGTGCACGGGACGGCCCAGGCCCGGGAATCCTCGCACCCCCGCTCAGCTTCGGTCACCAGCGAGTTCTACGTGGTGCCCGGGCGGAGCATGCACGGAAAGGCCTTGACCTGTGTCGTCTCGCACCCGGGGCTGCAGCACAAGAAGAGGATCACGCACACACTCAACGTGGCATGTAAGTCGCTCGCTTCGGCCCTGGCAGGGCGGCTAGCGTGGAAGACCCTTAACCCTAAATCTAACCCTGACCCTTGAACCTGTCCTTAACCCAGACATGGACCACCATCCTTAAGCTAATTGCCACCTTAACTCTGATCTGAGCCCAAACTTTATTCATAACCCTGACCCTGACCCCTGGACACCTATCCTGCTTCCGATGCAAACCTTAACCCCAACTCCCAGCCTTCACCCTTGACCCTTGACCTTCTTTTCTGGGACATTTGCCCAGGTAGGTGCTTAGGGCCACCCAGAGGAAATCCAACTGCCCCACAGCCAGGCCACCCCTTCAGGAAACTCCAAAAACGCATACAGCTGGGTTGGTCCATATCTAACCTACAGGGAGCAGTTTTTGTTTTGTTCTGTTTTGTTTTTGTAGAGGCAACAGCTCTTAATGGATCATCCAAAACTAAGCCACCCTCAAATATTTCGCCTGACAGTCGGGTTTGCTTATGAAAATCATTCCTGGGGAAATCTGCATCTCTAGTACTGTGAGGGTTATAAGTAAAATCAGAACAGAAAGAAGGATGGGGTGGGAGTCAGGAGATGCTCTCAGATTCCCTGCTGATCGGGACATCCTGGGGCTTTGACCCCCACCCCCCACCACCCCCGTGGGCACTGCGTCCACGACACTATGGGGTACGGAGTGTCTTTAAGCCACTCCAGGCAGGAAATTGGGCTGGAGAACCAGAAAGTGAGCCACTCCAGCTTTGATGACGTCCCCCTCGTATCCAGGAAGCATGAGCCACCAGTGGGATGCGGCTAACGGACCACCGAGCCTTTTGCTTGGGCCACCAAGGCTTCCTCCGGGGAGCATGAGGGTTCCCGGTCTTGCCTTCATCCTCTTCCGTGGCCATCTCTCCTCCACGGAGACGTTCTGGAAAGCATTCTCCGCCCGGCTGGCGCTCACCCAGCGACCCAAAATCAAGGGGTCCTCTCTCCCTCTCCCTTCTTCGCCCTCTTGTCCGCCTCACCTCAGGTTTCTCCCCTTGCACAGATTTGTCCGACGCCTCCATCCTGGGCCACGAGGCGGAGGACGACTGGACGGAAGGAAAGGAAGGCGCCTCTCTGAAGTGCCTGGGTGATGGAAACCCTCTGCCGAGCTACAACTGGAGCCGGTGAGCATCCTTCGCGGGGCGGCTTAGCCTTAAAGGCGAGAGAGAGAGAGGCAGACTGGTGGATGTGGTCATTCAAAAAACCCAGTTTCTTTCTGGTCCATTCCAGTAACAAGGGGGCTGTTCCCACCTTCTGTGCATTTAAAAAAACCTGCATGAATTTTTGTGTGCACCTTAGAGACAGGCACATCATTTTTTTTCTTTCCTGTGCATTTTCTAAAAACGTAGGAAAGATTTTCGCTTTTCCACTGCATTTGGAGGTTGCACGCACCTCTGGATGAAAATGTGTTTTCTATGCACTGTGGAAAGGTGTGCCTTTTTTTTTCCGGGACATCTTTCGGTGGGGGGGGAGAGAAACAAACAAACTTTAGCCCTGTTCTCCAAAGGTCTGCAGAACTCACCACAACACTAGAAACCTATGGTTTCTGACTGCAAAAATGTTCCAAGATCTTTCTTCCATTGTGGTCGGAAGGCATTGCTTGGATAAATCAGGGTTTGTTTGTTTTTTAAACAAACAATCAAAAACCCTGTAAGGGTGTGCATTCCTCTCATAGTCTTAGCCTTGTCACTTTCTGAAAGAGAAAAGAGAGCTGAAGTGTATTTGCTTATTCAGTCATAGTTTATTTTCATCATTCGTAGCTCGAGATGGAAGGCTGGAGGGGAGAAGCTTTACAGCTACTGCCAGAAAGGCAAACAAGCGGGTGGTGGATTAAATAAAGGCCAAACTTTGCACTAGGATCTAAAGTGAATAAACGGAGGCTGTTAGACTTTGGAGAAGACAAGAGCTCGCTGGAGAAGAGAATAAGGCCGGGAAAACCTGTACATGCTGGTCTGAATGCTTCAGAGCACAAGATGACAGATCACTGCAAAAATAAATAGCAAAAAGTCTTTTAAGGGGCGTGCATTTTAATGCCTTTTTTATGGAGCTGGAATGAGACCCTCAGAAATGAGGCACGTGAGCATAACAAGGGAATATAAACACCCCATCACCTTCCACTACCCTTCGATTGCTCCTCCATTCAGACCTGCTGGGATAGCTCCAGGGTTGAGCCAGAGGTGGGGGGTTCAGTTCCCCCACCGGGCCTCCTTGACAGGGGCTGGAGTTGATGAGTTCATCATCTGCAGTTCTCAGATGATGAGGATTCTCAGATTCTTATAATCTCATCCGTGGGACAACTGTGCCGGAGGGGAATTCAGAGCTGCCATCTGGATGAGCCCTTTTTCCAGTGCCAGCCTCTGATGTTTACCTGGACCTCCTCGTGAGGTGTCTGTGCCAGCGCTGGGTTCATCGCTTGGCATCCTCGAAACAGCTGTACAGGTGCCAGGGGGCCTCACTTCCTCCTCTCTCCAGGCACCCACGCCGCTTACGACGCCTTCGGGCCCTTCTTTCCCCTTCCCGCCCCCGAAAGGGGCGATGCGCCCATGCGCCCGCCCAGACCTCCCGTGCGCTCCCCTTCCCGGCCCCGCCGTGCATCTGATCCGGCTGGGCCGCCAGGGAAAGCTCCCAGGGATCCCATTCAAAGGGGAAGGCTGATCCTCCGTAAACACTGATTCACCCATCCAGCCGATCCTGCCTGCCTTTCGGGCCCTCCTGCGTCGGGAGGAACCAGCCGGGACTTGCTGTGGGTTTCGGGGAAGCAGCCTCGGGCGAGCCGTGCACCTCCTAGCCTTTTGTGGTGAGCAAACGGTGGGGGGGGGGGGAGAGAGAAAAACAGCCAAGTCAGCAGAAGGAGGATTTCCATGGGCCAAGCGAGCGGGGTGGGACCACTTGCGGTCTCTCTGCTCCTGGCAGATGGGATTTGTTGTCACACTGAGCACAGGCTGCAGAAACCCGAGGGAACCTCGGCCTTCTGAGTGGTCGATAGGAGAAAAAGAGGTCATGGTTGGAAGTCTTTCTCCTCCTCCTCCTTCATGCCATGTCTTGGACTACCTCCCCCATTAGCCGTCCTAGCAGGGGACGATGGGCACTGCAGGCCAAAATATTTGCAAATACCGTTTTCTTCCTCTTTGCCAGAAGGCGTGTGAGTGTCAAAAGCCGCAGCGCCCTGCTCTGAATCGGCGATTCGTTTCAAATGGCTCCCTGTCACGGGACGGGGAAAGCCCTTTGCACGGGCTCTGAAGAACTCTTGCCCCCAGTCGCACTGATCATTTTTAAAGCTACTTGCCTTGTGGGGATAAGGCATGCTACAGCTGGTTATAATTTTTAAAAAATTCTTTTAAAATCGTATTTGTTTGCCATTCACGCCTCCTACCCTGTGTTTCCAGAACCCTGGGAAAACAGACGCTGCATATTTTTTTGGAATTAAAAAGTCTTGGCTGCCAGTTTGCAAGCGATGTATGTAAACTTTAGCCAGTGTGTGTGTGTGTGTGTGTGTGTGTGTGTGCATGTTTGCATACCCAAGCATGGGTAGGGAACAGAATTATTTTTTCCTGTTGTTCTCGTTGTTATGGGCGGTGAGGTGGTCCCCGATTTGTGGCAACCCTATGGATGATCCCTCTCCAAATTCTCCTGTCCTCAACGGCCCGGCTCAGCTCTTGCAAACTACAGGCCTGTGGCTTCCTTGAGGGAATCCGTCCATCTCGTACTGGGGGGCTTCCTCTTTTCCTGCAGCCTTCCACCTTTCTCAGCACGATGGTCTTTTCCAGAGAATCCTGACTTCTCAGAATGTGCCCAAAGCAGAACAGCCTCCGTTTCAACATTTTTGTCTCCAGAATGATATGCAAGTAGAGATATGAATTCTGGTTTCATATAGCAGTTAAGATTATTCGTCAGCCCTCACCATGAGGATAAGGGTGACTTTTAGGCTGGGCATTTATTTATTTAAAATATTTTTACCCTGCCCTTCTCCTTAAAAATTACCCAAGGCATCTTTACTTCCTTGAAAAGACAGTATTTAAAAGCTAAAAACAGGAAGCATCCATATATGTAAAAAGAATTAAACAAGAGAGAGTAAATAAAGCGAACAGTTTTTTTTAAATGTAATTATTTTTTATCAAATTTGGGGGCAAATATCTGCCCCTCAGATGGTCTCAGCTTTTAGAAATGTCCCCCAAAGCCAAATATGATGTGGCAAGAACTTTAAGTCAACTGGCGGCAAAGTCAGAGGCAGGGAGTTTGAATCCCACCCACCCCCGTGCCTCTTTGAGAGGGGCTCGACAATCTGTAGAGACCCTTCCAGCTCTGCAATTCTAAGAGGATGATGAAAAAAAAATCTACTTCAGTTATTTGGGGGTAGGATGGTGCAGAAATTGCATTAGGAAGTGTTTTAACGGCGCAGGAGGGCATAAAAATATTGGCATGATGCTGGATCAGGGCAAACCGCATTCTGAGCACAGAGAAATGCTGTTTGTTTGTTTTCTTTAAGTGGTATTATAAGTGGGAAGCGCTGATTTCCAGAAGATGATGGCTCCACAGTTGTTTTTGGTGAGGCCCAGGTGTATGTGCATGGCTTTTTATTCTTACAAAGAAAAAATTAAAAAAAGGCCGCTGGGTTTCCCCGCCTATAAATTGCGCATGTGTCTCTCGCATTGCGTGCCTCTGTGTGGAAGGTGGTGGCACAGAAGGAATTGGGGCTGGGCGGCCGGGTGCTCTCGCCGGGCCCTGCGAACCGGCTCAGACACTCGTTGGAATCTCAGCACCGAGTTCGGGGCGGTGTCTGGACACGTCCCGGCAACCGGCTCAGCTATGCAAGACACCGTGGGAAAAGCGCAGGGGTGCCTTTGAATTCGGCAGCTATTGTTTGTGATGTCATGGCCGACCCGCCCTCCCTTTCCTTACAAACCGCCTCGCGGGCCCGGACATGTCGGCTAGGCGTGGAGGCATCAGAACCGGCAGGACAGAGAGCGAGCCCAAGAGAGACACCACGACAATGTCATCCCCGTCCAGGCGTCACCGGCGCTCCCGGCGCATCTCGTCTGCTTTTGGGTGACGCTTCCCCCGCTGGCACGAATACAGCGTGGAAACGCGAACGGATTTTCAGTTCCTGAGTTCTTAACAACAAGGATCGCTGCCCTTGCTGGCCTCAACCGTTCAGGGTACAATCCTGTGTATGGGTCTACCTGGAATAAACCCCCAATTGGCGCGGTGACATTACAAGAAGGATCTTGGAATGGTTGTGGATCACAAGCTGAAAACGAGCCAACTGTGTGGGGGTGGCTGCAAAAAAGGCCAATGCAATTTTAAGATGCATTCACAGAAGTCTGGTCTCCAAATCCCGTGAGGTGCTAGTCCCTCTCTGTTTGACCATGGTGCTTCCTAATGACACTGTGCACAATCTCTCAAACTGGCCTACCTCGCAGGGCTGTATGGAGGATAAAATGGAGAGCAGGAGAGCAATATACGCTTTCTTGAGCTCATTGGAGGGGAAAAAGTCCCAAGATATGAATTTGATCAGCATTTAAGCGATTAAATAGAAAGTAATCTTCCTACCTCTGAAGCTGAGGTTTTCTGATTAAAACGGATGGCCAGCAGTTTCAGGAGAGGTAAAAAACCCCATTCTCTGGTCCTGTAACCCAGTGGAGAAGATCAGAAGTTGAGGGGGGGGGAATAATCTTTCTTTGGACTACAAACCCCAAACTAGCTTTGGGGATCAGGGAACTATAGTCTGAAAAAGTAACTTTTAAAAAAAAAAGCTTTGAAGATGACAGACAAGCATCCCAAGTACTTTTTCTAGGGCTTGCCGAACCTGCAGTTATTAAGACAAACAGGCTGTCTTGCGTTACAACAGAGGTCATAGACAACCTGTCATTGGGAGAGGGAATTCCTTAACTACCAAAAACCTCTGAGTGCATAGCAAGAAAGTCTTTCGCCCCATGCAATTTGCAGGAGTTAGGCAGAGCTTTTCTTGGAGGTCTGAGTCTCCCTGAATCACATCTCTCCAACACTGAAGTGCTCTCGGCTCCGAGCATGAGCCTCTTGCTTCTGCTCTGACGGTATTGTCCCTCTCCTTCTCCCCAGGCTCAATGAACCCCTCCCGAGCGGGGTGAAGATCAAGGGGGACACCCTTCTCTTCCAGAAAGCCCTCAGCCCTGAGGATGGAGGCACCTACGTTTGCCAAGTCAACAACAGCTTCGCCACCAAGGAGGTCAAAGCCACCGTCAGCATCACAGGTAGCTCTCTGGGCCGGTTCAGGAGGGACCAAGAAAGACCCTCCCAAACCCCAGGGGAGGGAGGGGGGCATCTGAACAGAGTCTGCCAAAAGACTTCAGATGAAGAAATTACCAGAACTGGCCACTAAAGGGAGCCAGAGACCACGTGATGTCTAGCGTTTGCTATTTTCTGTGGTTTTCACCAACCACGGCTTGGGACAGGTCCCTTGCAGATACGGAGGGAGGTCTTGCTGTATTATCAAATCTCATTTTCCTTCCCAGCACGGAGAAGATGTGGGGAAACCAGTTCAACTTTTTATCTCTTTACAGCAGGCCAAGAACTTTGCAAACCAGCGGCTTCCCCCCTAAATTGATTTTAGTTTTAAACCCATTTTACGGTACTTCTGCATCATGGACTCAGGCTTCTTCCACAAAAACAATGCATATTCGGATAGAATTCTAACAGATAACTTTGTCAGTTTGGTATAATTTTCCTGTACTCCTTTTTGTACCTCGCTAGGCAGAGTTTCTCAGAGTTGCTGGTTAGGGTATATGACCTTTCCCACCCTAGGGCACTTGTCTGGAGTGCAAAAAATGTACTGGTCTAAATCCAATGGCTCGCTGCAGGTTTATGCATTAAAGCACACTTAAAAACACAACCCACGTCCAGGTATCAGGGCTTACGTTACGACAGCATGTATGACATGGCTGCCTATGAGCAAAATTAGACCTCTGGATTTGGTGTGCGATTATGGGTCCCACGGAGAGGAAAACAGGTGGGGTTAGGACTGTACCACTTTTTGGGGAGAAGAGGACTTGGTGGCCTGTTTCCAGGCCCTGATGACACACACAGACCCATCACTCTCTCTCCTTGGGTCTCTCCTGCAGGGAAACCGTCCACGCAGGTGGACGTGGTCTCCATCTCCATGATCGGGGCTGGCTTGATTTCCGTGGTGTTGGTGGGATTGCTCATCCTCGTGGTCACCCTCATGACGTGCTACCACAGGCGGAAAACCAAGCGCATCACCGAGAAATAGTAAGTGCCTCCCCCCCTTCTAGAAAAAGAGGTGTTCTGATCATTGCAGTTTTGCAGAACAGCTTCAAGTCCTCCACAGTATAGTCCACTCCTTTTCTCACTAACTGGCCTGTACTGTCTCAATCACTAAGACATTAATAGTTAGAAGGAAAGGGGCCGAAAGAGGTCCCCCAAACCCGTCCTTCACCTGCCTGGAAAGTACGGCCATAAAACTTTGGCCCGACGTCCGAGCCGACCGAGCCCTGAGACCGTCCTCTCCAGCTTGCCAAAAAAGATAATTTTTTCCCCATTTCCTTTTTCTCTTCCCCTCTGCAGTGAAGAAGAATTGACCTTGACCCGGGAAAATTCGATTCGTCGGTTGCATTCAAGCCACAGCACCGACACCCGGAACCAGGTGAGAACTTGGAGGTGGGGGAGGCCTGGGGAGTTGGCTGCCAGAAATATGGACTGTTTTGTCCCCGGAATCTCGTATTCTGAGATACACTGCCACTGAACATGAAGGCCTTACTGAGCAGGACCTATTGGTCAATGCCACATCAGTCTTTTTCTTCTTTCTTCTCCCGCACACCTTTGTTCCTCGTTAGCTAAAACACGAAAATGGCTCCAAATTGACTTTGCTGAATTTTTTTTCTCTACATTACGCTCGCCTTGGCTTCTTGGCCTCTCGCTGTGAGGCGTTGTGGACTGTTTTTCCCTGCACGAAAATCCACTGCACATTTAATGCACTTTCCCCCTTTTGTGGGTATTGAATGATGCTGTTTATGACACACATCTTTCCCCTGTTGACTAGAATATGCCTATTTCCCCCCACCGTTTGACACACAAATGGGACAAACTAGCTCTTAAAATTTAGTTTCAAAATGGAGCCATGGTTCCCCACAAACTTTTATTTGCGAGAAAATGTCCTGTAAACCTTGCCAGAAAGCCTTGAAAGGTGCAGAAGCAAGGCTGTTTCCACCAAGAGAGATGAATGTATATATTTGTTTTTAGCCCCGTTTCTAGACTTTTTAGAAGTGCTGAGCCAGGGAAATCCTCCAGCACCCCCTAAAGGCAGCAGGTGGGGAAACCCAGACAAGCTGCAAAGAATTGGCATGAAAAAAAGGGGGGAAACACAATATATGGTAGCAAAATATGGTAGCCGTTGAACCAATTGTTTCCGTCTGGATGGCTTCGAGGCCTAGCTAGGCCTATTTCTACCCAAGCTTCCTGTTCCTGCCCAAGTGCTAGCTGGGAACTTTCCTCTCAACTAGGAAGCTAGGCCGAACTAGGCCGAGCCTTCCAGGTGAGCCACATTAAGGTGTCTGCAAAGCTAATTTCCGGTTTTTATTGCCATCTATTCCCCCCACCCCACTGCTTTTAGACTGAAGAAAACCTCCCCCTGAGGTTGGAGAGCCGGCAGGGCAGTTATCGTGGCGATAGCCTGTGCCGGGACAGCCTGCGGGCGGACAGTCTGTGCCGGGACAGCCGGCAGGGTAGCTTTCGGGCCGACAGCCTCCGGGAAACCAGCCTCTGCTCCGTCCTGGTGAGTAGGGGAAACGGGTGGGTGTCGGTGAGGGTGAAAGACGCGATGAGATGAAAGTCACCATACAGCCTGGTCAGCCTGTACTGTTGTTGTTGTTGTTCTTTGTGGTCTGATTCTCCGCGCTTCCTCTACTCAGGGCGAGGACGCCGAGGGGCGCAGCTACTCCACCTTGTCGACGGTACGGGAGATCGAGACCCAGACAGAGCTGCCCCCACCGCCCCCGACTCCCGTCCCGGAGAACCCGGAGGAGAAAGACAAAGATGAGGAAGAGGAACAGCGGAACGGCGAGAACACCATCAAGCAAGCCATGACCCATTTTGTCCAAGAGAACGGCACGCTCCGGGCGAAGCCCACCACCAACGGCATTTACATCAATGGCCGGGGACACCTGGTGTGAGGCCGGATCTGGGCCTGCCTTCTCCCTCCCGGAAGTCTGCAAAGCACTGAACCTTCTTCCTGATCGTTAGTGCTTCTCCTTGGTCGGGAACACGAGACCCTTGAGATCGAGGCAGCCTCCTTCTGAGCCACCTGCCCGCCTTGGTTTATAGGCCGAAACGCCCCTTTCGCCTTTGGGGAGGGAAAAAAACAAAACCACAAATCCTGTCCACCCTTCGTCCAGCGCAAGAAAAATCCTGCTTGTCCTTCAAAGGTTTCTGGGTACCAAGAAGGGTTCCACCAACAGCTCGGAAGCCAGGGGAAAACTTCTCTTTTGATTTTGGTGTGGGATCCTTATAATACCTGTGATTTGGGGAGGGGGGCACAGAGGTTTTTAAAAGTGCATCGTTTGAGGCCGCAAAGGGTCCAGGAGAACATCGACGGGTGTCGGGAGACCTGAACTCCCCGCCTTTGGCTCAGGGACAGACCCATCCAATTCTTTTGTCCTTTTTTTTTAATGCTTGTTATTGTTATTTTATTATGAGTTAAATAATTACAGTTTGTAGCTCAACCGTGGCTATGGAGAAAAGCTCCCGGAAGCTTCATAAGAGGCCAACAGGCAAATGAAAGGGAAAAAAAAGATGGGTTAATTTTTTTTAAGAAAACAAGCCCCAAAAAATGACTATTATTGACTTTAAAGGAAAATCTTGTGTCCGAGAGACCTGATCTTGTGTGTTTTAAGGAGGCAGGAACGACGGGCCGCTGTCGAGAGAACCCTTCTCAGAGCTACGGCTTGGTGGAGATGATTCCCCACCCAGCTGGGCTGCTCTCGGGAAACCTTCTGCAAGGTCCGCAGGTTGGCCCCGACTTCCCGTCCTTGGTGGATTTCCACCCGGACCACCCGCCTCGAGGCACAGATTTTTGCACGCCTTCTAGGGAAACGGTCCAACAACGCGTTTTGATCCCTGAAAGGTGTCGGCAGCTATGGAGTTGGCCCGCCACGGTCCGCCTCGTGGTCGGTCCGACAAATAAATGGGCCTCCCGGATGGGTCTCTGGAGGGTTGGTTGTGCATCATCCCAGATGGTTTGTTTGGAACGCCTCTGTAGAC